GGGGAGGTGACGTTGCGACCAATTTTCGCCCCTGGGAGTTATACACGACTCGTGGGCTTGCCCGACACAGCTGACATTCGAACCACTGTAGAAGTTTTAGATGACGGCGACTAGACTTGCCGCGGTAAGAGCCTCGACCTTATGTTGTATCATGACCCCTACCCTACATGTGAGGAGTAATGTAGTCCTCGACTTGATGCAGGTGCATTGCCGAAGTCTTTGTGTAAGCTTGATGCATTCTTTCCGCTGTCCACGGTGATGGACGTGTGTATACCTACATGGAGTTACTAACGATGGAAGAAATTTCATTGCTGTCACGGGAGAGGCGTGGGCTGGACTGCATCTTGCCACCACCAAATGCGCTGCGGCGAACTGTGTACAGACAGCACCTGCTACAGGTACCTCTGGGGCTGATTAAGCTCAGAAAGATGCCAGGCGAGTTCCCCCAACCCACAGCCACAGCGCGGGCAAAGCAGGTACCTGCTCGGTACTATCCCTTGCTCCTGCTCGGGAGGAAGCACCGAGAAAAGCCCGCTGCGACTGACGAGAAGCGCACTAGCTGCTCACTGGAACAGCCAACCAACGGTTTAGCATCGCCCGTTAGGGAAGAACTCCCAGGGTGCAGGCGCTGAGCACCGGCGGGCTTACAAGGCGCCCAGCCTCCAACCAGACCACCTCGTGGTGCGGAAACGCCTGTGGGTCGGTTGATGACATTTCGCTGCGTCCATTTCCAGGTCAATCAAAAAAGCACCTGCATACAGTACGATTCGAGCAAGAGGCCGGAGAAGGCCAACCGACGGGAAGCGAGGCAGACATGTTCCAGTGTTGATCACCCATCCTGCCCTCAGCTGGTATAACCAATCCTGCCGGGACTCCTCGATTCGGGAGTGCAGGACAGGCTCCCTCCCTCCTCTTATCAGCTGGACAAAGAAACCAGAAACCCGGAATTACGGGCCATTCGACTTTCGCACACTGATAGTGGTGGCATGGCCCATATGTGACGGATGCCAATTGCAGTAGCACAATGACCAGATCTGATGCACCTGCGGCCGAGGAGGACGCGAACTCGGGCATCAGCTACGAGGAGGGATCAAGTGGTGATGATACGGCCCACAATGTCCCTTCGGCCACGACACCGAGGAAGCGAAAGAGAGAGAAGCACCAGAAGACCTCGTAGGATCCCACTCTTGGACCCTCCCCCTGAGTCCCAAGGATGCTCGTTATCCTCGTCTTGTGCTTGCTGATGCTGACTACTTTCATGTAGATGTGAGTTGTGCAAAGCTCGCAAGGTCAAGTGTGACCGTGCTGAGCCCGCATGCTCGTGGTGTGCCCGTCACAACAGGACATGTGTCTATCTGGAAAGACAGAAGCCCGGAAGCCGTATTGGCTTCGGGCTGGAGCTCGAGGCCAAGGTCAACAAGATCGACGCCCTCTTGCAGTCTCTTGGACGGAGGTTAGAGGAGCACATAGACTCCCATGATGCTCCATCACCCGCCATCAGCACACAGGCGACGGGATCACAGGCTACCGATGTAGCCCCTCGAGGTGGTTTCTCCAGTGGTGTTCCCGTCTCCAACACTCCTGCGGGGGGCACTCCGAATTCCCAAGGAACCGCGAGCCTCTTCCCAGGTGGTTTCTGGCCTGGCAGCGACGCCCCTGACGTTGCCCAGTATGGTGGCCAACAGAACCCATCTGGCGCCGTCCATAACACCAGCGCCCCGCCTTTGTCGCTGAACCCTTCAGTTTCATTTCGCCAGCCGCCTCTTGCTACGCCTGTTCTCGCCGATCTCCCGCCCCAGGATGTGATATATACTCTTGTCGATCTGTACTTCAAACACTGCAACACATGGTGCCCTATCCTCGAGCGAAAAACGACATTCGGAATATTCTTCGGCTCGACATCGATGAACGAAGCGGACCGGGTCCTCCTTCACGCCATAGTAGCAACTACGTTGAGATTCCTGAAAGACCCTAGGTTATCGTACGAGGCGAAGTTGCATTATCATGGTGTTTCGAGGAGGACTGTTCAGCTCTATGCAATGGAGAATGTCAGTATCGAGGCATTGAAGGTATCCGTTATTCTTTCTTTAGATGAACTCGGTACGTTGAATGGCCCAAGAGGATGGAATCTACTGGCCATGCTGGCCCAGAACGCGAGGCAGTTGGGCCTTTGTGAAGAGACGAGTGTGTTTCTAGCGACCGAACCTGACGAGATGCCGACCACTGGATCCATCCGGCGAATAGCTACAACCAGACCCGAGTCGTGGATAGAAGATGAAGGAAGAAGACGTCTATGTTGGATGGTTTATCTTCTGGACAGATATGCCACTATTGCTACGACCACCTTCGATTTCTCCTTGAGCGACAACCTAATGAGGCGAGTCCTTCCGTGCTCGTACGACTTGTTTTCTAGGAACGTCCCTGTCGAGACGCAGACGGTAACGGGATCGAATGACCAGCAACCTAGCCAGGAAACATCCTTTGTGGTGAAGAAACCCGAGAACTTGGGTAGTTTTGCCTACCACTGCGAGATCCTCCGTATTATCAGCAAAATCCACAACTTCTTACGAACGCCGGTTGATGTGACTTCTTCCACCGACATGGCCACCTGGCGCAACACATACCATACACTCGACTCCTCGCTGGATGCTTGGTTGCAGAGCTTGCCAAGCGAATACAGCAAGATATCGGCTTTGTGTCATTCGGACCCAGCCAGTCGCGTTGCCAATTGGTTCATGCTTCATAGCGCATATGTGGTTGCGGTTGTACGACTTCATTCAGCAGCAGCGTATCCCACGGTCCGATCACACATATTCGTTCCATCACACTATGCAATGCAAAGGTGTCTCTCGGCGGTGCAAAGTCTCGGCGATATTGCTAGAGATGTTTACGAGGCAGATGGGTTGGACCTACTGGGCCCGCCCTTCGCCTTCTCTCTTTGGGTTGCTGCCAGATTGCTGATTGTGCACGCAGCAACAGTTGGTGGTCCTGTGGATCCCAAGATCGAATTCCTGGTTGAGACACTCAAACACGTTGGCCAGTACTGGGAGGTGGCACATAATTACGCCAAGGTGCTGAGCAGAGTGATCCAGCGAGCGCGCCAGAACAATATGAGTTTCGCCGCTATGAGAAAGTAGGTGCAACCCTCGAATGTTTTCATTCCCTTGTATAAGTGCTAACAGTTTCCCTCTGTAGAAGCGCCTATGACCTGGTCCAGTTAACGACGCAGACGAGACGATCGGGACTGGAAAGCACGTCAACCCAAGTCACATCCTTGAGCGAACTGGATAACATCGACGTTTTCGACTTCTTCAACTTACCCAGAGTTTCCAACTCAACTATCGGATCGACTGATAACCAGACAAATCTGTTGCTACCTCAAGGCACATCAAACGTCAACAACAGTGGAGGTGTTCCAGATCCCGAATCGGATTGGTTGAGATATAACGCAACATATCATTGACGCCACTGTTATTCACAGAGCTAATTTGAATAAACTATAAACACGATATCCCTAGGGTATCGATAAATGCCGTGCCAAGGCCAGTTGATGCCTTGGCTTCGGGAAATAGGAGGTCCCTTATCCTAGGTACGCCAAAAGAGAAGCTTTTCATCTACGGATGGTTTCGCCACGGCCACATGTGAAGTTGGGCGGATCATGATATACCGAAGCTAAATCTATGAAGAGGCCACTTAGCAATTTGGTGTAGTCTAAGCATGACAATGATGAGATGTATGCGAGCTTGGTGGTTGGGCATTAGGTCCAACGTCTATGTCATACGGGGAAGGAACCGAGATGCAGCACAAAATTTGTGCCTCCTATACTGGTCGCCATTTCTGATATGGGAACAATTCATATATCAAGCTTGCCATGGCACTCTGTTGTTAATGTGCTGCATATAACATGGAGAATCATTATCTCTTTGACTGTGAAAGCGCCAGTGGGTCTGGCCGTGAGGTGGTTGATGATCTCTAAGTAATATTTAAGTACATCAGCTCCTTAGCGACTAACATAAAACATCATCTACAACCTCTAGCATCAAAATAAACACAATATTAAGTTAAATATTGCAGATTAACTTATTATTTTCTTATCATTATCTCTACCTTAGTATTGTTATTTTCTCTTGAATACCTACCTACCTATCATTATAAGAAAGAACCTCATCTATGGCTTTTAGGCCTCTGTCACATATATCCACTGGCGCTTTCACAGATACCCAGCTGATGTTGAGGTGGTATCGCATTCATTTTCTATCAGAGGATAATGGCATAATATGATGGCAAACTCTCCCGTTGCCTATGAGGGAAGCAAGAAGCTTGCCTGGGGTTAGGTTGACCTTCCCTAACTCTCGCTCTTACGTCTTGAAGCATCCACGCACTTTCCTTCGCTTCGCATAGGCACCTAGGCAGGCAGGAAGGTTAGGTAGGTACCTAGATTATATTCAATTCGATGAGAAATATCGCTGAGACAATCCATAATCTTCCAACCACACAGCGCCAATTATTCTTCCATCTAATCAGATATCGTAGCGGCATCATTACCTCAGGAATTCATTGCTCCAGGAATGAAAACTCACACCATCATAATTCTCACACTTCTCTTCCTCCTTCCGTGGTTATTGCAGTGTTGCCAAAATCAAGAATACCAAATGGGTTTACTGCTCCCATGCTTCCAGGACCAAGATCACGATTACTGGGACAAGCCATGGAGCGAAAAGACACACGAGGAGAAAGTACTATTCCTTCGGCGGCGCCTGATCACGCCCTTCTCCCAAGAGACCCTCGAAATGGTGGCCCTGCTCGTGAGCCTCAAGACCATCAGCGTCTTCCTTGAGAAGTTCGGCGACGACCTCCCTATTATAATGCGCCATTTACCTTCAAACGACGCGACCTGGGGAAACTAGTGGGCGTCCCGGTTCCCAGAAGATAAATACCAAAACCCTGCGCTGAAGGTTCCAGGGCCGCATATCGAGTACACTTCGCGCTACGTGGTGACGATGATCCGTACCCGCAAAGCGCTCGAAGAATCCATAAGCGAGGACCCCGATAAATACCGATTTTCCAAACCGATCAACGATATCGTCCAGGAGGAGGACATCATGCCTGCACTGCGATCGGAGAGGGAGCTTGCAAATGATGGAGATTTGCGTCGCTTCGAGTTCATTGTTGGAATCGCAACAGAAAGAGTTGCCAAAATAAACCACCTGTCTGATCCCTTTCGAGCTGTCGATAATTTTGTCAAGGAACTGCCTTCCTTGCCGACCCAGGTGAGGCTGAGTTGTTTTCCTTCTTTGAAAGGCGAGCGTTTGATTTCGTTGTGATGGACTGCATTTTAGACATCATGCCCTAGCGTATAATAGCCAATCGATAGCAATATATTAAATTTCGACATCTTGTCTGGGGACCCGAAACCTTTAGTGACTATTGCTGTTCTTGATAACAAGATGGATGTAATGTCGCTTTACTATCATCTGGGTGCAACGATTCTCCATGCTGTGTGCAACACATGGCCATCTTTTTGTGGTATTAAGGCCGAATATTCACGCTCCAATAATGCTCTCTTGGATGACTCATATAAAGACAAATCACAGCCTGTGTTGATTTCCATAATCATAAAATCCCTTGCCACTCTTCACCCCAAGGTGCCCCCTGTCCAAATACTGTTTTAGAAAGGCCCTGGGCTCTTCGGGGATGTCGCTCCTCGCCTCGGCGTAGTGCTCCTCGATATCCAGGACAACGTCGAGCCCAACAATATCCATCTGCTCGAAGGGGCCCTTTGGAGTCTTTAGTACGCCCTTGAAAATTGCATCAAGCTCCTCGGGTGTCCCGGCGCCTTCCGAGGCAGCTAGAAGAGCCTCTCTCTTGATTGCCGCCCATATCCTGCAGAAAGAAATCATGGTTAGGTTTTTTTCGGGTGCTTTGGGTGGGACGAGAGTTGTCATACCGGTTGTACAAGTAACCCATTGACTGGCTCCGGACGTGGAATGGGTCAAATCCGTGCTCGGCGCACCGCTTCATCATAAGATCAATGTAGGGCGCGTGTGTTCCCTCGTGGCCCATGATCTCGATGGCTGGAGTCTCAGGGGGCCAGTCTACAAATTTTGCTATTAGGTCACGGGGACGGCAAAGATACAAATGTCGGTTACATACAAGTATGCGCACTTAGGACGCGGCCGCTGTGTCTCAGATCCAGGCCTTTGATGATTTCGGCGCTCGAGTAGCTGCTCGAGTTTGATGCGATGATGATGTCTTCTGGTGCCACGGCATCCAGCTGTGAAATGACCTCCCGCTTGAGTGGCAGCTTCTCCGGCACGCACTAGACGTGAAGTGTTAGAAACCGGATGACGTGTATCTAAAAGCGGGAGATTAATGGAAGGTACCTCGACGACAAGCCACGACTTGCCAAGGGCTTGGCTTAGTTGGCTTGGTGAGTGGGTGATGATCTGGCCCTTCTTCGAGCCGGGCGAGTCGCGCTCGGCTCGGAAATCATCCACGGCCTGCACGGCATCTTCCAACTGTCTCTCTTGCCCATCGATTAGATGAACCTCGTTCCCCAGACTTGACCACTAAGAAGGGATTAGTGATGGTCAATACGGCGCTCTTGGGAGGCAATGCGCACCATGTAGGCCAAGCGTCTGCCCTGCGTCCCTGCGCCCAGGATGGCGACGGCGTTTCGACGAGTCGGCGTGGCTGTGGTAGATAACATTGTGATGTGTCTATTTTATGGATGAAAAGTATCGAAGCAATAGTAGACAGTCATCGGATGGAGTGAGGGCGGCCACGAGGGTTTTAGCCAAAGTCGGGGTAGTTGTCGGATCCGATACTTAAAGATAATATGGGGTAACCGAAGCTTGGGGTAATTTTTGGTTGCATCATCGTTGATCTCGGATCCGACTGGGGAGGATCTACTAGTAAACGCGGGATCGAGACTAAATGACACGATAAATGGCAATTCTGCCGTCGATCCAAAGTCCATCCGGTAATTGAATGGTAGAAACAAATATTGTCGAATCAGACGAGGCCGATCCTAGCCCTACGCAGAGCACATGCCTGCACACAAAATCTTGGGACAGACAACGCATCGCAGCTCGGTAATTTATTCCGCGTACTGCCCTTGCATAGAGCCATATGGATCCTGCCGCGGCTCTGAGGCGCCTGATTCTGAGGGCGTCGCGAGTTTCGTCCTCGCCGCCCGCACTGACTTGGAGCTCTGGGGCAGGAGGCTCAGGGTCTGCTCCAGCATGGCCTGCAGATTCTCGTAAGACTCGTTCGCGATCTTGCCCTCGCCGTAATCTCGCTCGACCGCTTTCCGGACCAGCTGGACGCCGGCAACGATGTGGTGTGGATACGGATCTATGGATGTAAGCGGTACTGTGATGGACGAGTTTTTCCGCTGGCCCCCATCTCTTTCGCTCGTTGGTGAGACCACGCCGGGATCGAGGGTCACCGTGTACGTATTGTGAAGGCCGAACACGAGTGTGTTCATGACGGTGTTCTCTGCGTCGGCTGCAGCGTCCCGAACGCCGCGCAGCAAATCGAAGCGCTCCGTCGCCTCGATGATGTCCACGAGCATCAAGATGCTCAAGTGATAATGTAACATGAGTGAATCTTGAGTGATCCGTCAGCTAACAAAGACTTGGGATCTATGGGTTCCACTCAAAAACTTACACCAACGCAGCTTGGCCTGTTGCCCTAAAAACTGCATCCGTCGTTGACAGGCGTCTAGGTGAGGACGGAAGATCAGGTCAAATTGCTTGATCGCGTCTACAACGGCATTATACGCTTTGAGGACCCTCGACTCGTCATGCCCATCCCGGAGAGCTTCCTTGAAGACAGCGGTGAGCTTCCAGGCCAGAAGCTTCCAGCCAGATCCCACGGCCACAATCTGGTTGGCTCTCTCGTCAGTCATGTCCAGGCTGTTTGTCGACCACCCTTGTGCCGCGTCATCAAACATCTTGGCCTTGCTGCGGATCAGACGCCAGCAGAGCTCTTCCTCGTAACCAAACAGCCCGGACGATAACAGCGATCTGCAGTTGAGCGTCAGGGACGCCGAGGTGTCGAAGGTGAGAGCAGCCCAGTATGCGGTGCTCTCGGCATGGATAAAGTTGAAGGTGTCAATGGATCCCGGACTGGTCGGGATGATGTGTTTCTTGAGATACGGGGAGACCTTGGAGCCGCTGAAATGGAGGTTCCTCTGACGCGCTCTCAGGACCTGAATATGCTGGAGCGCTGCGTGAACACAAGCCTGGCCGGAGATGCCATCAACTTCTTCCTCTTCAGAGATGCCTACTGGGATGGGGGTCAGGGCAAAGAGGAACAAGCTAAGCATGGAACGATAGCAAGGACGATTAATGACCCTCAGCATATCCCGGCGAGCATATCGCCACAGGTTCTGCATCAGAGCGCTGGTTTCGGGATCATCCGAGGAAGCACCTGTTGCTAGAGGAAGCCAGCGAGAAGAGAAGGCTGCAGTAGTACTACGCAAAGACTCGTCGATCAATCGCTCTTGAGCGTCGTCCCTCGCAGATGTGTTACCAGCCCCAGAGTCATCTGCCATCCATTTATCAAGCTGCCTGCAGAGGTATGATATGCTCACATGCTTGTCAGCGAACGCATTGTCCGTTCTGGTCAGATTAGCACCCACTATTCCCAAGGTGGTTTTGACATGGAGATAGAGACAAGACTTCTTACACGAAAGGATTGCCGTATCTCCCCATCCACGAGCCAAAGACGGTCTCATAACCCGTCTGGTAGATCACGGACAGCCATTCGGAATCACTCTGACCCAGCGGGTCAGGCGGTCCGCCAAAAGAAAGCTTGAGTAAAGCCGTCGCCGTGGCCCTGGTACTGTGGGACTCCGAAGAGAATGACGGCAGTCCCTCTGATCCCGGCGAGGAGCCAAGACCATGGGCCGCTGCGGTCGACACGTCCCCCGGCGCATTTTGCTGCGAGGTGGCTGTCTCGCTGGCCGAGACCGAAGGCTGCCGCCGCCGCCGCTTCCGCTTGGTTGAGAGCTTCCTCGAAGCAGAGGCCTTGTTTTCGCTCACCCACTATCACAACCCAGGTTAACAGTCAGGTCAATCGAGCCGAGCTATGCATTACCGTCGTAGACCACCAACCCTCCCTGGCTCGCTTTCCGACGCGCCCTCTACGCAAACGTACCTTGAACGTACACGGCTTCTGCCGCTTCAGGCACCGCGTACACGACACGGGCTCCTCCGAGTCCTCAGGCTGGCCGCGGGACGACGCATCGCAGGCGACGCGGGACCGGCGGCACTCATCGCAGCTCGAGAACTGGGTCCTGCGCGTGACCAGCTCGGCTTGCATCGTGGCGACGGGGCCAGCAGGCTCACTCTGGTCGGCTGCCTGCCGCACATGCACACAGAAGCTAGCAGTAGCGGGTGATGGATTCGCGATCCCAGGTTGAGCTGTGTCCGCCGCTGCCTGGCCTGGCATAATCTGCGAATGATCGCCCCCACACGATGCAATTCGCCGGGAGGGAGATTCTAATCTCAGCCTCCTCCCTTCCCCCAACCCAGCCCAGTCCAGAGACTCCGGTCCAGTCCCGCACCGAAATCTGCAGACCCGCTGAAAATGCGGGGAATTGCATCTTCACCGGCAACCTCCGTCTGATCGCATCAGGCCAACCAGCCAATCACGCATTAGACTGAGCAATCCATAACATCACAGTGCTGGATGCCATGTGAACCTGAACTTGAGAATGAAGAAAATGGTCCTGAATCTTTATACTTCAATACAGATTGTACTTGGATCTCAAAGAATGCTTGAGGTAACAGTCATCATCATTGCTTATATTTTCTACTCAGTGGGCTAGCTATTCAACTAACCACCACCAGCAAAGCGGTAGTAGTAGTTCTTCTGGTTGTTGAGTTTCTTCCCAACAACGTAGTCCTTCTTCTTGGCGTAGTCCGCCTCCCGGGTTCGGCCTCTCTCCTCCGACTTCTTGACCAGCTGTCGCTTTTCATCGGTCACGCCGGTCATGCCCATAGCCCCGCGAGGAACAATAGCTCGGCTACGGCCACCGCGAGTTGCGACTTGGTCATTTGCTCCGGCATCCTCATCATCGCTTCCACGTTCCCCATTTTCAAGCGCCAAGCGCTCGGCTCTTTCCTCGGGAGTGGGGTAATGAGTAAGGTTCTGGCGGTAATACTTGTTCAGGGACCTGTGGCCGACTGATTTGCCTGATGGCAGGTGTAGTTCGTAGTCATCAATGTAAATGTCTGGATCACGGCGCTTTGTCCGGCCTTCCTCCTGTTCATCGCCAGATGCAGAGCTGTCAGTTTCCCAGCCCTCTCCGTCATCTCCATCAACCTCGTTGCCGTCTGCATCGGTGATCTTGGGGGCTCGGGGTGCCCCAAGCTTGGCGCCACCCTTGTCATTCTCCTCTTCCGCGCTGTCCGAAACCTCTTCATCATCTTCAGAATAAGTGCTACGGAAGTCATAGTGATCTCCAATTTCCAGTTGCTCCTCTTCTGTGCCGAAGGGGATCTTGCAGTGACCCTTGTCTCTCATGTGTGTCTGGACACCGAATACGGTAGACTTAATCTTGCCACAGTACAAGCACTCATGTCCGACGTGGACTTTCTGTTGTAATTGATCCACAAGGCCGTCCAAGTTGACCAAATACGTCTTCTCAGGTATAAACATGCCGTGGAAGCGTTCCATGTGTTGAGCGTTCTGAGCTACTGTTGGCGAGCTGTAATTACAGAAGATGCAGGATGTCAAGGACCAGGTTGGCTCTGACTGTGACTGGACGGGAGTGGCGTTGTTTGATTCTCTATCGGCGGCAGCATCATCTGTTGCCTTATCCGAGATGGGATGGGGGTTCGATGGTCGCTTCACGGGCGAAGGGCGCTGCTCCTCATGTGAAATCTTGGCATGCTGGAAACCTTCCACCACTTGGTTGAACTCTGCCTCAGCAGCAGAGTCGACAGAATCACGACGCACTGCTATAGGCTCGCCCAATGTGAAAGTCGAGCTAACTACTGATGTTGTCTCGTCATCAGGGCGCTGGTTGCCGGAGGAGGTTAGCTTGAGCTTGTGCTTTTGGCTGGACAAGTGGTTTTGGTAGGCATTTTCGCTGTAATAGGTCTTTTCGCAAGCCTCGCATACTCTCTCGAAATGAACCTTGTCAGCTTCAGCCGTGGTAGCTGCTCGGGCCTGCAGGACCTTGTCCGTAAAAACGTCTGCAGAGATGGGAGGGAGCGAAGCGACACGACGTTTCAGGTTGTATCGACTAGAAGAGGGATGTTAGCATCTCCACTCCATTCAAATTAAGGGTAGGATTGATATCACGTACTGCCAATCGCTCTTCATGTGACCCTTTTGCAAGTCGATGTTTCTGTAGGCGACTTGACACGTATTGCAGGTGTAGGGATGGGAAGCCGATGTGGCTGGCTGAGCAGCGGTGCTCGCCATAGTGTCTAGGCCGGTCGGGTGGTGCCGCGATGGTGGGATCTTCTCGTGCTGTATACCAGCTTTGATCCCTTGGTTGACTGGGAGTTGATGAAGTTGGCCGAAATCAGAGATCGGCAGATCCGAAGACGCAGCTGGGTTATTATGTCACTTCGAGGGGAAGAAAGGTGCAGGTGTGACAATGAGGTTTTGCATTTTTTTGTTCGGTGGGTGGCGGGGTTATTGGCGGGGCTGATCTTATCAATGCGATACTGAGAAGCCGATACCGACCGACTAGTCCTGATCATATGACGAAGGCGGACTTGGCGTCGAGGACGAGGAGCAAGTTCCAAAGCAATTTCCTTCTTGCTTGTTCGATCAACTGGACTCTATTGGCTCTTTCTAAGAAATCTCTGCAATTGTCTAGGCAGGCGAGCTCCATGACACATTCTTGCAACATCTTACCAAACAGCATGGTGATCATTTCCTCGCCTCTCTCGTCTCAGCTGGCGTCTTCTGTGGGTGCTGACAAATGAGAGGTCATTCAGCGTATGACTCAATGAGTCGTCCTCACTCACCCAACAGGGAACAAGTTGCCTCCACTATCCATCTCTATGCCACCAACGAGCTTGCACGGAGTATGTGCCATCAGAGCGCCACAACTGCCGTGACGCATAAATGTACTGTGTACTTAGGTGAGTGCTGGGCCGTTCCGTCGTCTTAGGCGGCTAGTTGGAGCTATGACAGGGCCCTGGCAAACCCGGCTTGTGATAAAACAATGCCAGCTGGCTCCGAGACAGTGTTAGGAAAAGGGGAAAGAACAGCAAGGTAGCAATGGCAGGAAAAAGGATGGAAGCAACAAAATTATGCACCTGCTCGTGAGGTGGCTGACGCAAGCCAAAATTAACTGCGATGCCACAGATGCGCTTGATGCAGATCTGTTTGTAACCCCGGTTTCTGACTGAATCCTAAGGATCAGTACAACAAGATCCGTCCTATATCTAGGGAGATACGCCTTGACTCTCTGATGATCTGAGAATATGCTATCGATAGAGCTGGTCGCGGAATTGACCTTCGGCGGAGATAGTGTGGATTGTAGCTACTAGGCTTAGCGGCGATCACCCTGCAAGTAGGCACTTAGGTAGGTAGGTGAATTGACTTCGCTTCGTTTCAGTCAAAGATGGAAAGAACATGTATATTGTAAGCTTTCAATGAGAGCACGAGGGCATCTACGGGTGATTGTATCGCGACCATCGAACCAGTTTAGGGTTTGAGGCTGAAGGCTTCCATGCAAGTTGGCGCCGGGCTCATCCTTCCCGGACCAGAGCACACATACCTCATGCGACCTGCCTTCTCCATGGAAGCATTCCGGTAGACGTTAGCACACAGTGACACGACGCAGAAAAAGGGAGAAAAAGGTCGCAGATGCCTGCATGGTGTGTCGACTATCAACTCATTGCATGGAGATGGGCAGACCCATTCGAGTTCTGCCAGGCGAGGATTGAACACGGCACGCTGGCCCAAGACAGTTTCAGCGCTTGGGACTGCAAAGGCAGTGGCTCGCCATCCCTTAGAATTGAAGGCAGGGTGGGTCACCTGTGTGATACGGAGGTATCGTGTACAAGGATTATTAGGGACGTACCGATGGAATGTCCATGGGGCGGTGGCTAGCAGAGGCCCAAAGACCCTCCCGGCGGCAGCGTCCTACACCTACCTAACCTTTGGATACCCCAGTGCTCGCTGCCCGTGTCTAAGCCGTATTCGACTGCCAGAGACCAGGGGGCTCCAACCTGCTCCCATTCCTCCAGCCATTAACCTCCGAAGCCTGGGCCAGCATCGCCACACGTCCCATCCTCATCCTGGTGCATCCCCTCTCCGTCTTCACCTTCATGCTTATTGAGGGTGTCGTTCTGGCCAGTATGCCCGCTCTCCCTTCGCATCTCTAGAGACCATTCCGCCTGTGAGATCCAGACAGCCGGACAGCGCCTCGCGGCGCATCCCTAGTCGATCGCCTACCATGGCGCCTGCGGCTTCGCCCTTCCCTCCCGTCGCCCAGCCACATCGCGGCCACCCGGACCCTGGTGTTGAGGATTTCGACCTGGATCTGACATCAGGGCTTTGGCTGGAAGCTCCCTTCGTCAAGTTGCCGTCAGACGCACCGCCCGAGCTTCACGACTACGTCACAGACATCCATGATCCCCGACGTGTTTATGCTATCCATCGCGCAAGCCGTCGGCATGATTTCCAGTTGTTGGTAAACAGGTAAGCTACTCTCTCAAACAAAGCCCTTCGTCAAGGGAATCTCGCTTTCTGACTCTTCCACGACGTCTAGGTTCATCTTCCAGCTTCGCCAAGGCTGCGGGTCACCGCAGTGCTCGACCTCGACTTGCTTTACATGTCGCAAACGATTGGCCGGGAAGGCCCCAATTCGACGATACAACTCCTCGAGCGCGAGAACATTAGCGATTTATCTTGCTGGCCGAGATAATCCCGAAGATGGGCTGTGCCCATACCTTCGACAGCCCAAAGAGGCATCAGAAACGATGTTGAAAGGTCTCATATTCCAACCCGCCAATCGACCCGGCCGACTTGCTCTTGAGGTCAGGCGCCCGGACATCCAATCGCACTCGACTCCCTCAAAATCAAGCCAGCGCCTTTCAACCCGAAATGGCGGGCAAAAACCTCCACGGTCTCCGTCGAGTACGAAATCGCCGCGAAATGGAAACCAGATCAAATCCGACAGCGAAGATGAAGGCCGACGCTCCAAACCTTCCTTGCCCGATGAACACTTTCCACCAGCAAAGACTGAATGTAAGGTTCGAGAGCGACCGGCGAGTAAAGACCACCGTTCCTTTGCTGCTAACATGTTTGGAACTGTTGCTTTCCGGATGCTTGAATGGTTGACTCCGCAAGGCCACGCCGCAATCGCAAAGAAGCTTGATTTTGCCGAAATGGACCATCCTATCGTCCTAGGAACAGAGTCGAGCAGGGATGGCTCAAGCGCAGCCTCGCCCAAGACTGAATCCTCAAGAACTCCAAATTTTCTGAGTGGCGATCCACCGGAGAGATTAGGACCCGTTGAGCCGCTGTCTCCATCACCAAAGGATCCTATAAAATCCCGACACAGTTCCGAGGCTACGTTTCGAACCCCTCAATCATCGTCGAGGCCACGGAGGAGAAAGTCACTAGAGCCACCGACACCAACTCCCACACTGGACGAGCCTAGATCACCAACAAAATCCCCAAGGGTATCTGCATTCCAGCCAGATAAGCTCGGCTGGCCCCCAAAGTCGAATTCTACAGCGGGCGTCACCAGGAATATTCCTGATATTCCCCTCAAGCCCGTGTTTTTCGATAATATTGCGCCTCCTACAACCTCTCCCAGACTTCAACCACCTGAGAGTCCCCGAAGTCACTCTTCGGATGGCCAGCTGATACCTACGACTGATTGTCAAATCAAAACCGGAATCAATGCGCAGAGCCAAAGGTTAGAGGTAACGGAACTGAAGCCCGAGCACTCGGATTCTGAAATGTCCGACTCTGAGATTGACTGCCCCTTACCTCAATCTTTGACGCATCTGACCGCTAGAGTTGTCGACTTTATTTGTGATGTGTTTGATGAAGACAGCACTTCTGAGAGAGCTATTCCCTATGACCTTGACTCGACAGAGGTTATTCCTCAACCCCAGAGAAAGTATCTTCGCCTAGAGCGAACGCACTGGCCCCGCGAACCTATTCCCAGGCGACAATGGAAAGCCTTCAATGAGCAAACCCTCTTCCATGTTCTCAGTAATCCGGAGTCTCTCATCCAGTCTTTTACGGTCGACGGCATATTGCTAGACTCGCAGTCGCTCTGGTATTGTATGCTTCGTTTGACTCGAGCAGCGCCAAATCTCGTATTTCACAGCCTTTGGATCGCGGCTGGGAGCCTCTTTTTACCACCAAAGTCCATACGGAGTGCTGGGTTCCAAAAAGCCAACGGTACAAAAGCCCGCCAGCGGACTCTCTCAGAACTAGAAGCCGGATGCATGTTGTCAATCTGCTTGCATGCTTTAATTGCAAGTGTTCCTTTTTGTTCAGACACAAGGCAACTGGCCGAAATGTGGCGAATTCGCTCACGGGGGCTTGCCTCGAGTACACTGTATGATTCCTCAGAACTACCATACTGGTTTCGAGAGGACTTCGATGATGCTTTCTCGAACAATCTTGCGATCAGGCTAGCTCGGCGTTTGTGTGGAGCTGTCGAAGTGTGGTATCACTTTGCTGCGGTAACGGGGAGTATGAAGGGGGAATCGAATGAACCTAAGAGCAAAATGGACATCATGAGGCCATTTATGCAGCAGATTGGCTTATCTGGCCTCGATTCTGCACCCGTCCTGGATTTTCCACTCGCAGAGCGTCTGACACATAAAAAGCGCGTGCAAAGTCTTGCCTTGGATTGGGTGAAGACAGTTTTGCTCGATGACTGGGATGGAAACCCCAATTTTGCGGCTAATAGCCCCAGCTCTGGGGCGTTGTCCTTCATTGGCTCGATGCGTAAGTCTTGTCCGTCACTTTATAACTTTACCAGTAGACAATTATCTGACCTAGAAGGTGTGTAGATAAACAACGAGAGCTTCTCCCTCTTTGCGAATCGCGATACCGCTTCGACTATCTCTCAGAGAGACTTGACTCGATGGACGTCCCTATCAAATGGGTCAAATCCGAGTTCGACCAGAACACCACTCATTTACTGGATTATCCTTTCTTGTTCACTCCTGAGACCCTTGTTTCTTTCTTCCGGTCCATCAACTTCTCCAGGATGAACCGAGCGTATGAGGAATCCAGCTCGCTCAAGACTCGAATGAGTGTAATTGTCGACCCAGGAAGCCTCATCACAAACCCACACCACAAGACCGTGCTTCAGGATATGCTCAAGACGGCATCATCCAAATACTTAGTCCTCTCTGTCGATCGAAAACATGTTCTTAGAGATGCGTTCGACCAATTATGGCGGAGGGAACCTCGAGAACTTCTTCGACCTCTGAAGGTGCGCCTCGGAGAGGACGGAGGGGAAGAAGGCTTTGATTCGGGCGGTGTTCAACAGGAATTTTTCCGCATGGCTATCGGTGAATTCCTGGAACCAGTATACGGTGCATTTATTACTGACGACCGGACAAGGATGGCGTGGTTTGCCCCCGGCTCAGTGGTGGAGACCTGGAAATTCGAGCTCTTCGGCCTGCTGGTCTCACTTGCCATCTTCAATGGGTTGACTTTGCCAGTAACCTTCCCCAAGGCTCTTTACCGAAAGTTGCTGGGCTGGCCTGTAACGGAACTTGCTCATATCGAGGATGGCTGGCCAGATCTCGCTAGCGGATTAACAGCTCTTCAGGACTGGGATGAAAGAGACGGAGCCGTCGAAGATATCTTTGCTAGAACATACGAGTTTTCCGTTGCTACATACGGAAGCCATTTTACTCGGGATATGACTCTAGGGGACTCTCCATGGCCACAAGCTGGAAGATCTTCACCAGATTCACCTACCGAAGCAGGTGAGGAGGCACCCCTTGTCACCGGAAGCAACCGTCTTGAATACGTGAATGATTACATTCGGTACCTGACGAGCGTCTCCGTTGGGCCACAGTTTGGTGCGTTCCAGAGAGGCTTTCGTGCGTGCTTAGATGCGAAATCATTGACCCTCTTGACACCCCCGATTTTGCAGTCTCTCGTTGAGGGCGTACAAGAAATCAATATTTCGGAATTGCGAGACTACACGCGATATGTCGGCTGGAACGCAACACATCGGACAATTAAGGATTTCTGGTCGATTGTTAAGCGCTATGATGACAACATGAAGCGTCGATTACTCGAATTTGTTACCGCTTCCGACAGAGTTCCCGTTGGTGGCATGCGTAATTTACAATTTGTGGTACAGAAAAATGGTGAGGAGGAGGGCGAGGGCGGCCACTTGCCCACGGCATATACGTGCTATGGAACACTTTTGTTGCCGGAATACAGGGACAAGGAGGTGCTTCGGGAGCGTCTTGGAATGGCGCTACAAAATTCTCAAGGGTTTGGATTTGCATAGATGGGCACTGGAGGAATAACAGGCGTAACATGTGTATAACTTTTTCTACTATCTTTACCCCCTTTTCTGGATTTCAAGCGATGGGCACTAAGCGATGGGTACTTAGCGATAGGCACTGCATGGGATAATAAGAATCGATTCTATATAGCGGGTTTGCTTTCCCAATACTATTACTACATCTTCTACGCATGGGGATAACCTACGACCCTTGCTTCGATCGTTAGACTAAGGTATTAGCATGCTGCTTTTGATTCTTAATGGATAGTATTCAATGGTATTTTTAACCGTTCTCCTTATATATCGCTCATAAACATCATATTGGTCTTCAATTTACTTGATTTGTCTCACGTTGAGATTTACCCTCTTGTTCTTCATCCAACCGCGCCATTCTTCATACTGCCCATCCTCGGTTGCTGGGAAGTTCTCCAGAAATGCCGGGCACGTCCCCTTAATAACCTTGGGCACGCCGTGCCATGCATACCGCGACTCGTTCGTCATGTAGATGGCGTCGCCCGACCGGAGCGGTATCGTGAGATACCCCTTGCCCTGGGCGGTGTCGTGCGCCTCCGGGGCCGGCGCGGCAGAGGCGTCGTCCCCCTCGCCCTCGGGCCCCTTGCTGGGGGCGATCATGAAGATGCCGTCGCACCCGAGGCTCAGGCTCACGAGGCCCCTGTCCGACTCCTCGCTGACGTCCCGGTGCATCATCATGGTGTCCCCCGGGGTGTAGAAGTTGACGATGGCGGCCTGGGCCTGGGTCTCCGGGAAGAGGCCGTGGAGGAGGCCGGCGATGTCGGCGGGGAAGCTGGGGGGCTCGGCGTCCGGGTAGACGCGGTTGGTCCAGTCGTACTGGCCGCCCAGGGTGACCCAGTGAAGCTTGCGGTTGAGGACCTGGCGGAGGGACTGGGGCCTGTGGACGGAGGGGTCCTTGGGGTTGAAGGCGGCGGGGGCGGAGTCCGGGCCGTGGGAGAAGAAGGAGGCGCCCGGGTCTAGGGACTCGTAGGGGACCTTGAAGTGGAGGTGCATGTTTGTCTGGTGGTTGGGGTTGCTGAGATCACGGTGGATCATGAGTTCTAGCAGCTTCTGCTGGACGTTCTCAGGGATTAGATTGGGCAGAATTAGAAGTCCTAGGTTCCAGCTTGTTAGTTGGGTATATGGAGGGAACTCAAATATAGGGTTGGAGGGGAGGGGCTCAAACCTGGAAGAAGAGGATGGTGAATAATCTGGGCATCTTCTTGAACCTCTTGAGAGATTCCGAGTTGCTTAAAGGCCTCTGTAAGTTGGTTCTTTGATATCGATCCTGCCGAGACGAAGCCAGTCTGGGTGAGAGGGAGTCTAGGGTCGTCGAGTTTGGTTTCGTTGAGCAGCTCAGCAGGCTCTTTTTTCGAGAACGACTTCCACTCCGCCCTCAACTCGTCAGAGGGCTGCTCGTGGGCATCCAGATCTCCCAAATTGATTGTCATATTGTGTCGTAGCTTTTTGAAATAACCAATAATCGGATCATATGTGAGTGAACCCCACCTGTGTGAAATTCACGAGGTGAATATAGAAGGTTGGACTAGAGTCAGGCGAGATAAGCCGCGAGATCTCTTCTATCACTCCGTCGATAATTTATGTTTTTGCCCTCGTTTTGCTTTGACCAGTTCTTTTTTTTTTAGTTGAGGATTTCATCAATCGCTATTCCGGGTCCATTCACACCCGACGGGGATTTTTACTTGGTGGTTTAGGGTGGTTGTTAGGCGCATTTCGGCTGACATAAGCACATTTAACCTGAGAGATGGATTTCTCCGATATCCTGACTGAACGACTCGCTTTTCTTTTCCGGGCAGTAGGTCGACGGAGTAGCAAATTCGCCAGACTTGGGCCTCTTCGCAGAGGAGACGAGGCATGCACAGGATAAGGTCATGTCGATGGCGTGAGTTAAGGTCATTTGGCTGGGGCGTCCAGCCGCTGCTGCAAAATGCCCGACAACCGCGCCTGGTTCAGGTCAATGAGGCTGCTGCACTCGCACGCAGCTACCACAGTCCCGCAGACGATTCAGATCACCCCAAGTCTAATTTGTCAAGACCCAGACGGCTGCCTTATGACTGGGAGGAACAAAAACCAGTGACTGAAGAGCCAAGATCGGTGGTCGAGGAGCAAAGACGATTGTTTGAGGAGCAAAGCCCAGCGGCGGAAGAGCAAAAAGATGTGGTGAAGGGACTCCGGCCAAGACCCACGAAACCCCGTTATGGCAAGGTCTATGGGAGAGCCCATGAGACGTCAAAGCCTCCAGAGAAATCCAAGAACCCATCCAAGTCGCGACAGCGGCATCAAGGTCTGAAAGGTATCAGGGTGGCCAAGGAATTATCATCAGACTTCATCTGCTTTAGGGAGGGCTCTGACAAACCCGCGCCGATCACCCCCGAGGATGATACAATGCTGTCCACAGCCCAGCAGTATTTTGGTGAGGCTTACCAAGAGCTCTACTCTGCATCTAGGCTGAGTGAGCATGCTATTAACACGGCTGTCCCGGAGGTTGCACTCATTGGTGCCATGGGAACTCGAAAGGCCACATTCATCAACGGTCTGTTTGGACTCCCCGATAACTACGGTGTTGGCTCCTTGCATGATGAGGTTATCAAGATGAGTATGTACGGGGTCAATTTCCCCGTCGGATGCCAGCACGGGAAAGACCTACCCATCATGCTAAGACCGCCGAACGGGTTCATTCTCGCGGACACCCCTGAATACACCCTCATCAAGCGTCCTTCCTGGGGTAAAGAGGTTGTGAATTACCTGGAAAAGCGGGAGAACCTCAAGGGCGCCATCCTCCTCCTCTCACTATCGAAGCCCTTTCGCGAGGTGGACAGGTGGGTGCTGCGCCATCTCGCCCACAAAGGGGTCAACACGAGCGTTATCCTCACAGGGGCACAGTATTTCCCCAAAAGGTGGGAAGAAGTAGCCGCACACCTCGCTCGGCGGGTTCGTCAGGAGATGATTAGCCTCGACTTACGGCTTGACAACGGATGGGTTAGAAATAATGGATGGATGCCGGACATACATGTCGTGGCTCCAGGGATGGAGTTCCAGCCCAGTATTGGCAACGGAGGCGGATTGGGAGGCGCCCGAAAAGCAATCTTGGAGCTGGCCGGGTTCGATCTGACCAAGCCCTTCCAGAAGGACACTTCTGTCAGAGGTCACCTTGACCATGTTGCATCATTTAATACTCCAGAAGCATGATATGCTATGCCCAGCATTAGGTGCTTCTACCCTTGTAAATTGTCGAATAGACCTTGTATATTATCGAATATACCACTTGTTTCATAGACGAAATTAAAACATGCTTGGAAACCCCCGTGACCGCTAATGGCTAACATCTGATGTACAAATCACACAAAATCGAAAGCACAATTGACTGCTGGGAGAGTTTGTAGTAGCAAATGACTGCTGCTCCAATCCTCCAAATTCGCAGTCTCCATAGCCTGCAAATACTATGACGCGTTTGGCAGCCAGTATGCATATTATCCCATTCCTAATTCGCCTTATTTCCCATCGTTTGTCGTAGCGGTTGAATGACTTGTGCCCGGACGGCTAATCGACATCCGCTTCCTTGCTCCTTTAATGTCAAATAGAGTCTTCACTTTCTTGAGTCTCGCCCAGCGAGCCTTGTCCTCCTCATCCTGCGCCTTTTCGTCATATTCCTCAGTGTCTAGCTGGGAAGCGAAGTGAGGTGAATTGTTGGCTGCCGAAGCGTCCCCGGCAACCGGTGTGACTGGGTTAGCTTGCGACCGCCGTACAGGAGTGGAGGGGTGGCCGGGAGCCTGTATCGACTTGGGCCGGCCCTTTGACCGGCCTGCGTACAAGTCTCGCAGATTTGACTCATTCTTGATAGTCTGAAGTAGAACCTTCCAGCCGGGCAGAGCCTCACCCTCTGAGGCCTTTGCGTTGGATCGTTTCTGGGTGTCCTGGTTCTTCCAAGGACAGAAGAATCGATGTTCGCGAACAGGGTCGAGATGATCCATCGGTGCGGGGACTAAGACTTCACCGTCCTCATTCACCTCCTTACTCTTGAACATCCACAAGCCTAGGCGCCTTAGGCAAGTTTGACAAGAGGCTGAGTTTGGCACTGGACCAATGCGGGAATTGGATAACCCTTGCCACCCTAACAGGGCCAGTGCTAACGCTGGCCGATTCGGTGTTTTGATAGAGGCATGTTGGCCATTTTTGAAGAAATCTGGAGGCAGACTGGCCAGTACGTCATCCAGGTCCAAGCCCTCCGGGAGTCGTATGTTGAATTCGTAAGGTAGGAAGGATTCACGTGAACATAACTCATCGTATCGGACTCGGAGTTCCTCGAGAGCACTGGTCGTACTAGACAGTGGAAGACGAAGAAGAGAATCTATCGAGTCATTAGTAAAAATATCGGTCAAGGCACATGGCTGGTATCACTAACTTTCCGTGCCCCGTTTTCTCCACAGACAATCTTCAAAATGCGCGCTGACAATTAGCTCCTCGTACTTTTCAATAAGACCTTCCTCTGTGATCTGTTAGCAAAGACTCATGCTGTATTGGCAACAGGGAGAAGCGCGCACCGATATCCGAGGAAACTAGCACAGGAACTTCTTTTCCGTCGATGTTTTTCCTGTTGAGTTTGACGACGAGCTCTTTGTGGCATAGTACGCAGCGCACCGTTTCCTTGCCCTTGCAAATCCAACCCCTCTTTGCCCATTCAATTTCGCTCACTCTATCGGGTTTGAATGTCCAGTCTGTGAGCTCTTGGAAAGTAGCTAGCCGTCGGAGGAGTTCACTGCGGTCACCCGGGCAGTACTTGGCCAGCGGTTTCTCGGGCTCTCGTTTCGTTTCGGTCCGTCGCGGGCTCGTTCCAACGGTCGAGGAAGGTGATCCTGCTTTCCCGGGCGTCGGGGGATTGCTCTGAACGGGAGAGTTGGATAGAGGGAGGCCCAGCCTGCGCCGTTTGTCGAGAAAGCTCTCGACGTCACTCGTTTTCTGTGGAGTCCCCGGGGGCCGTGAACTTTTCGCGTCGGCATTTTGGCGATCACTCGAAGAGCGACTGAGGCCCTGGAGTAGGTTATTGAATTTCCTCTTTGTTGAGTTCATGTTTTCGGCACTTTTAAGCTGTTTTCAGGAGACATGGGATATGTAGAACTCTATGTTGACGACGCAAAGAGCCGCTTCATGAAGTGTAGAAGACGTTTCTGTATCGGTAGAGTAGATTCAGAGGGCTGGCTTGGCTTTTGCGGTCGATAAAGTATCAAGGTAGAGCTGAAACGAGGTGACGGGGTCTGTTGGCTTTGGTGAGGTTGCTTGCCGAACTTGGTTGTTTCGCCAACCAGTGTTTAGGTTGCTGATAAGCAGATAAGCTAACCAAGAAAACGACATGTGCAGGACTCAATTCATGACATGCAATTAACTACTCTCAAAATCAAGCAAGAATAATAAATATCAGAATAATAAATATCAGACGTATTATTGTTGGAAAAACATGTTACTATGGAACACCATTAAATGTCCCTATCGTCTGGTCGAATAGAACGAAGGTCTTTGTCTTGCAGTGCCTGCCTACCTTGCTTGTCTGAACACCTTATTACTTAACACATGGCGAAGAAAGCAACACAGCCGTTTTGAACAGTTTCAAGTACCGTCAATCCGATGATTTAAATAGAGAATAATGCATGATTGATAATAGTCCGTTCTTTCTTTGATGGTCGATCTTGACATTGTGTGGGGCCAGTGAAATTGTGACCTCCACCTCTCATGCTGCTGCTCTCTTTGAAGGCATGAATGAAGAAGGTAGGTAGCTCGTCTATGGACGCAAGTAGAGGCATTCGCATGAGTTAGGAAACAAACAATCTGGGGGTCCATATAGGATCACAAGGCCTGGATCTTACTAGCGTCGTTTCTTTGCCATTAATTCAAACAAAGCCTGCTCATGATCAAATTGATGTAGATGAAGAATGATCGGAATTTATTTTATCTTATTTAAGCATCCATTTAAGCTAGTAAGGCCATTCGTTCCGCACCAGCGGCCTCTAGTAACATATCCAGCAGCTTGTAATGGTTGGGTGCCGTTGCTATAGGGTGCAGGATTCAAACCGGCCTCAGCTAATTCAGACCTGGCTCTAATAGGTAGTCGATTGCTCTTATTAAGATCAAGTAATTAATACAGAAGTTCAGGAGGCATGATCTGTAAGACTCGGATTAACTTTAGGTGACATTAGTAGGATATCAACAATCGGCTTGTGGTGAATCGTAGTAGCCCATGATAGAGGAGTCTCGCCTTTTTTATCTGCAAGATTCGGATCAACCTTATCTGACGCAAGAAAGGTTTTAATTATCTCTGTGTTACAATGTCGAGTAGCCCATGATAGAGGAGTTCTTCCGTATATGTTTGCAATATTCGGATCAACATTGTCTGCCGTAAGAAAAGCTTCAATCACCTCCACGTTACAATGTAGATCTCGAGTAGCCCATGATAGAGGAGTCTCGCCATTTGCATCTGCAAGGTTCGGATCAACCTTATCTGCTGCAAGAAAAGCTTTCGTCATCCTAGGGTCATTAAATAGAGCAGCCCATGATAGAGGAGTTCTTCCAGTTTGGTCTGCAATATTCGGATCGACCTTGTCTGCCCTGAGGAGGACCTCAATGACTTCACGCTTGTTTGCCAGGCTAGCAAGTGTGATTGCGGTGTGTCCCCATAGGTCTGTCGTATTTGGATTGACCTTTCCTATGTCAAGGAGGGCTTGGACGGCATGGACATGGCCTCCTGAAGCAGCAGACATGAGCGGGGTCACCCCAGATGCATCCTTTGATTCTGGGTTGGCATTGGAGTTTTCTAACAAGAACTTTAACGTCTCCGTACGACCTTGGACAGCAGAAAGCCGTAAGAGATTGGTGGCGTCATAATTAATAGTCTTGAATAAGTGCATCTCACGCTGAAGAAAAAATAAAATCAGATCCTCGTTCCCAACTTCAAATGCTTGTTCCAAAAACGTTTTCTTTTTTGAGAATTTGAATGAGCGACTCAGCGCGAAGATTGGCCTTTTCTGATGGGGAGATGCAGCCTCTTCTGACAAGGTCACGTCCTTGCCTAACTGGGATGGAGCCATCAAATCATAGAATTTGTTGCAAGCCCTGAAGCTCTTCGTAGCAATTGAAGCGAAAAATGGACAACCGTATCGCTCGTCCTCTAACTTAAGGCAGGGGGGCGTCGTTAAAGTCTCATCCGAGGAACAATGCTGGATCAGACGAGATGCATCTGCCTCAGCCAATATATACAGCAAGCTCGCCGTCGGTGTATATTGCCGTACTTGGTGGATCTGATAGATATTGTTTTTCCTGATCCATCCAGATCGGTCAAAGCAAGAAATGAACGTAAGCTGGTCAACACCCCCATTCTCTGCCATGTCGGCATGGTGGATAATATTTTGAACACAGTATTTGAGCAAAGGGAATAAGATATCTAGCTTTGCCATGGACATTGTAGGGTTTTGGCCAAAGGAGTAGAAGAATACCAACTCAGGCTTACTATAGCTCAGGCAAAAGTGTTTCAGCTTTTCATGGCTATTGGCCTCAAATCTTGGACCGATTTCAGGCCAGATCTTTGCCAAATCAGTGTTCTTGAGGAAGAACTCCCGGACAGACTCGTGAATGAATTGGACAGTAGGCTGTCTCGACTTGGTAACTTCAGCGAGCCCTTTGGATGAATGGAGTAGAAATTTTTTGATGGTATCTCGGGTGATTTCGTCTTGATCCCAAGGCTCTGGAAGACTAGATTCAAGGCCATATCGGATAGCAAAGTAAAGTTGTTCTGGACTCAAAGGTGTCTTGGCAAAGAGAACCCATTGGACGCATAAAAGCATGCTGTCTCGGTTTCGGTCGTCTCGCAAGATGATGTCTTCAAATAATTTGTGAAGATCACTGGGAAGATCCTTTAAGCGCCGCTTAAGTGAATGCATATTGCCGCTGTCATATTCCTTGTTCAAAATAGCCATAACAAGAACAACCCACATGAAAACACCACGGGCTTTTTTTTGAGCTTCCTCGCGTATTTCTTTTGCCATCTTGCTTTTGCCGATCCTGAGTTCACTCTGGATATAGTTTGTTATATCGCTACTGTGGCCATCTTGCTCCTCAAGACATAAGCTGAGGCCAAAATTGATGGTGATGTGTGGATAATGTCGGCTGGAGAAGAATATGCTTAAATTTATCGACGGATGCTCCTGTCCTATATTTTCGAAAAACTTGATCATGTCTCGAATCTTATCCTCATCACACTCATCTAGAGCGTCGATGAAGAATACGATGGACATTTCTCCTAATGTTAGAAGGGCCTGTAGTAGCAGTTCTTTCAGAGGTTCGATGGCCCATGTCGGGCTAGGCCCAATCCTAGTGCCCAATTCAGGCGAGTCGAATATGCACTTTTGATGTGGAAATTGTTCGAGAATTTGCACGAGTAATGACCGGTACATCCCAGTTGTTGATCTCTCCAGCGGTGTCCCCCGTGCATTGAAGAAGAAGCTAAATATGAATCTGTTCTTCTTTCTGTTCTTTTTGGCCTCGATATAAGCAAATTTCATCAAAGTAGACTTTCCAGTCCCCGGGTTTCCTTTCATCCACAGAAAGCCTTGATGGGCACAGGCTTTCTCGGGGTTGGTCCAATCGCGATATTCTTGAGTGAGAAGTATCCATCTGCATGTCTTGCTGTGGGCCTTTTCAATTGTTAGAATCCGTGAATCGATTTGGTCAAATTTGAGTGATTCCAAGATATCTGCTTTTTGCCCTTCTGTGAGAGATGGCCTCGCGAAGGCCGACACTTGTGGCTCGCTTTCTTTCTCTGGCATATCCAGTAGCATTCGTCTCAGGGCTGCGTCAACTTTCCTGAATTCGGGGTCGTCTACTCTAGAGAAGCGGCACATCTTGCTGTGATCTTGATTGATATGTTCCACTATCTCAAGATCGGGAATATCCACATAAGAGGAAGTATCCTCCACAACCTTGGCATTGGGTTAGCACCATCTGGTATCAAACTGGATCTCATACTTTCTAGCGGAACGTACCTTCTGGCCACCAAGTGTCTTGAAGCCGTACTGCTCTTGGAAGGAATGTATCTTCCACCGGCGCTCACGAGCCATTGGCCCGAAAACGTCCCGCAACTCGCGTAGGCGATCTGATGTTGGGAGAAGGGAAGCCCTAACATTTTCATTCACAGAATGACCCAGAGCTTTGAGAACTCTTTCTCCAAAGTGAAGAAGTGAGCCCCCCGGATCTGCACCGGAGTGTGGGGTACCGAAAAAGATGATACCGATAGTAGACTCGAAAATCGGACGAATATGTATCTGACTCTGGTTGAAGGACTGGCCGCACCTACGAAGCAAGTCCTTGACAATTATTCCCCCAAGACTATGAGCAATGAATATGATGGGCCTGTCCGGCTCATCTTGTCGTTTAGCCTCGAGTGCGATAGAGAAATCATTGGATATGTCGTACACGGTGTGTGTGCTGACGGGCGGCCCAAATAGTCGCTGGATTTTGGCATCGTAACCATAACTCAAGACTCGTGCATCGGGGACGACTTCAGGAACCAAATCCCGGGGCCAGCAAATGGGACCATCATGAGAAACGGCACTTATTTGTTTCGATCCTGGCTTTAGTTTTCGAAATTTTAATGGGCGACCTTGATGCTCGTCGCTGCGAGGCTCGTTCATGGATGTAGCTTCGACGGTCTTATCCGTCCAGGTTCGTTCAGGGTGGCCGTTGAAGCCATGCACAAAGATGATGCTAGAAAACGTTAGTTTACCACCAAATAGAGAAATAGATATCTGGACCAGTACTCTAGACGAGGATTCTTTGGGTTGACAATCACGTTCAAGGCGAAGGACGCGATCGGCGCCTGTCCCGTAGGACTCCTTGTCTCCTCCATCTAGCGACGCCTCGACTGGAAGATGTTCAGGAGATTGAGGAGAATTGAAAGGCTTTTGGTTTCTTCTTTTGGGGAACGTTTGGGGAGATGCTCCCTTTGGAAAAGAAGGGCATATCCTAACTACAGAGGTGGCTGAGATGCCTTGCTGCCCGCCTTGCATATACATTCACAGCCTCACCGTCACTTAACAGCCAATCAAATCGAAGCACAAAACGCACCCATTCACAGCGATGTTGCTTACTAGACGGCACTTGATGTGTCCTGTTGATACAGTCTCAAATACTCAAAGTACAAATGAACCACCGGAAGAGTGTTACTCAAGAGATGTATTTTTAGCCTTTATCTAGAGGATTAGGTTGGATTTTAGGCCTAGTAGACGGAAGAAAATGGATACCAGGTACGAACAGCCGGATCAAGACCCAAACAGCACATTTACTCGTGGGTCAATGTGTGCTGTGGTATCACTGTGCACAAGGCCTCCTCCGAGTGTGGGGGTGGGGTGCAACTGATAAGATAAGGAAAACACCTTTTTTTTTTCTGCCTTTTTTTGCGCCGAGCACTTCGTTACCGCTGTTCGACCCTTCCTGACCTGCTGGGCCTGCATTTCCGCAAAACGCACCTGGATACCCAATTGAACAGCTTGGGTCGCGGGACATTCCACGACGCGGTCAATTAGCTTTTGGTTCCTGGTCCCAGCACATGCCCGGCACGAATAACAGCCCACCCTCGTGGCTCTTCTCTAACAACTCCTCCAACCCCCAGATCACCTCCACCACCATGGCCAAGAAGGAAAAGAAGAGTTCTGGCGCAAAGGCCAAGAGCTCCCCCGTCGCCGCGACTAGTTCCCCTCCTAGCCAGCTCCTCGGTCTGGTTGACGGGTTCCTCTCCGAATACGCGCTGGACTCGGTCCGCAGCGCCTTGAAGAAGCAGATCGAGAAGAACGGATGGGACTTGTCCGCTGTTGAAAGCACATCTCTCGTAGCCATCTTCCAGACCTGGGAGGCTTCTCAGCCCGCCGCCGCACCCAAGAAGAAGGCCGTCAACGACGATGTTGACATGAAGGACGCCAGCACCGACGACGACGACGCTGACGACGCTGACGACTCTGGTAGCGAGGGTGACGATGAGAGCGAGCCCGAGACAAAGAAAACGAGCCTGAAGAGGAAGGCTGCCGAAAGCGATTCCAGCTCATCTGAATCGAGCTCCAGCGATTCCGACTCTAGCTCAGAATCCGAGGACGAGGAGCCTAGGACAAAGAGGCAGAGGCGTGAGAAGTCTTCCTCAGAGTCTTCTTCGTCTTCCTCCTCAGAATCTTCCTCTTCCTCTGAATCTTCTTCGTCTTCTGAATCCGAGTCCTCCGACTCGGATTCGGATTCCGACGCTTCGGCTGTGGTCGAGAAGGCTTCCAAGGTCGCCCTTCCAGACTCCTCCGACGGTTCCTCAGATTCCGACTCTTCCTCTTCCTCCTCATCGTCGTCGTCGTCCTCTTCCTCATCGTCCTCTGACTCTAGCTCCGACTCGTCGTCCGACTCTGACGCCAAATCCAAGAAAACCAAGAAACCAGCCAAGGTCAAGAAGTCCGACTCCTCAGACTCGTCCGTGACCGTCACTGGCGCCCCAGCATCCTCCGCCCTGGCCGACCCTCCCCTGCCCCCCGACCCAACCGAGTTCAAGAGGAACGGCAAAAAGCAAAACGTCCCCTTCTCCCGCATCGCCAGGGACATCAAGGTCGACCCCCGCTTCGCCTCCAACGAGTACGTTAACATCGCCTACTCCCAGCGCGCCCACGAGGACCTCATCGTCACCAAGGGCAAGGGCTTCACCAAGGAGAAGAACAAGAAGAAGAAGGGCAGCTTCCGCGGCGGGCTCATCAATATCCACGAGAACCAGAGCGTCTACTTCGAGGACTAAAGCGGGGCAACAAACAAACTTAAGGGCATTCATGAAGAAACCGGTTTCCTGGGCCAGCATGCACCTTATTATTCCGGCATCTCTCATAATACCCCCTTCCCCTTTATGAATACGAGTTACTGTCGGGGCGTTGTTACTGGGAGGTTGGCGTTTTTTTTATATATATAAAGATTGGGGCATATCAAGGTCCTGAGTGCAAGAGCGTTCCGTTAGTGAGAAACTCTTCTTTCTTTCCTTCGATATAATGTATGCATTTCTTATAGAAGATAAAAAAGAAAATAGATCGAAATCGTTAAGAAACATGAAGCCGTTTTATCATATCTTTTTGTCCTCTGGTACCAGTAACCATTGCCGCTTGTGTATGCCCAAATTGGCTCATTCGCTCGTGAAAAAGGACCAACTACATAGATACCCCACCCCGCCTTAAATCTCAGTATCCATATCGGTCCTCATATGATGATTTTTCAAAGTGTACATGTATGCAGTTCGCTTCATTAGACATTAGGGAACGTAAGAATAGAAGCGAAAGCGTGGGGGAGCCTACCGCCTGAAGAAGCAGTCTTAGCCTCCCTCGACGGCACCGGGTCTCAGAACCTGCGTGGCCGGCGCGGTCTCGCCCGCCAGGTCGCCGAGCTCCGTCTCCTCATTCCTGGTGTTCATGATCTGGTTCTTCCTCTCGACTGCGTTCCAGTCGCGGTTGCCGTCCCTGGCGTTGATATGGGCCTCGCGCAACCACTCCTTCCAGTGCTCCGACACGGGCGCCGCGCCGCTCGTCTGCACCCAGCCGACGCTCTCGGTCTCGCGGATGGCGTACCACAGCGTGCGCGTGAAGCTCGGGTGGCCCTCGCGCTGGTCGTTGGGGTCCGTGACGCCCTCGGCGTTCTGGGCGTCCTGCTTGGTGATGTCCTCCCACTGGTACCGCGACAGGTCCCAGAACGAGGAGCGGGGGAGCATGCCCAAGGCCCAGTACAGGCCGTTGAGGAGGATGTAGGTGCCGGCGATGAACATCTGCAGGTCCCACGTGCAGTTACCGAGCAGGACGACACTGACCATCAGCAGGGTGGTGGCGATGGCCATCAGGAGGCGGTACGTGCGCTCCCCGACATAGTAGTCGCACTCCTCAGTCCCGGAGTAGAGTTCCCGAGCGACGTCCTCGGTGCACTTGATGAGGAGGAAGGCACCCTCGCGAGTACGGATCATGACATCGCCAGGGGGGACGTTGTTGTTATGCCTGCGCTTCATAAGCCGCGGGCGCCAGAACGACGCAATGCCAACAATGGTGGAGGTGAGCGAGATCAACGTAACGGATATGATTGCGTTTCCATCCTTCCAAGCTATACCACAGGCTACAATGGCCACGCTGATGGAGCAGGAGAAGACGCTCAAGATATGGATCGGGGACCAGAGCTTCGGCGGCACCGCGGGACGCTCGCCGCTGAGAGCCATCGTGGGGTTGGTGAAGAAGTCCTGCGTCGTCTCCCTCAGCGTCGCACGGCGTTGCACAGGCCTGGGCGGTTCGCCAGGCAGGGCGAAGTCCCTGGCGGTGGTGGCTCCGTTCTCATGGGGCAGCTGTGCCATCTCTTCGACGTCCCTTGGCGGTGCTCTTGGCATGCTGAAGCGGAGGCGCTCGGGGGTTTTACCCGGCAGAAGCTTGGCCAGCTTAGTGAAACCAGCTCTGATCCAACCATACTCGGTCGCGAGGGTGCCTACCTGGACATCCTCGAACTGGAAGTTTTCGCGGTGGACAATCTTCAGAACCTTGAAGCTGTACGCAGGCAGCTCATTGAGCGGCTGGATGATGTTGGCGAAGTAGCCTACCGACTCCAGAGTCGTGCCGCTCAGCACGCCCGTCATCTTGGCCAGCGTCTCGGGCATGCGGGTTGGCCTGGTGGCCTTGAGTAGAGCCTGCGGGGCGGGTATCAGGCGCGGAAGGACGCAGAATAGCGAGGCAGTGATGGCCTGGGACTGATCACCGATGGACGACTCGCCAATAACCGCCAGAAGGGTGACAATGTCCAGGCCCCAGTCCAGCTTGTCGCCGGGGAACCATGTGAACTGATTGGCGCCGTTCCCCCCCATCTTGATGATTGTGGTCGGGCAACCACTTTGGCAACAGAAGCTCTGGGAGGGTAAGTAGTAGGTAGGTAGTATTGCTTTGGGGTGGAGAGGATGGGAGCGGCGTTGGAAGGAAGAAATAAAGTTAGAATCACGAATACAGGGGTTGAGGAAAAGCGACGACCATGTAAAAACACCCCGGACGCTGGAGACGGAAATAGACGAAGCACAGGACTCTCAAACACGCATGGCTGGCTGGCTGCGAAACAATTTTTCGAAGGATGAACCCCCAAGAGGAGATGAAACCTGACAGACAACCCAGGCCGTTACCCGCGCTCATTTAGAGCGGGACGGCGCTAAGAGCCGCATTTCAGCTGGTCTCCATTGGGCTGGGGGAAACGGCGCGAACCGCTGGCTGGTGAACTCAAAAGTGGCTGGGCGCTGACGGCAGTTTTGATGCTGCTTATCCCCCCCTAAACTAAACGCTCAAGGGGGGCCCACCTCGAAGCCTAGTGCCCCACCACGGTAATTGTCGCCTGAGATTGATTTCGCACAGCCACTTGGATGTTGTGAGCCACACGTCACCTGACCGCCGCACAGGCCTTGCCACACTTTTGTTCGACAAGGATATCAACCACCGCCACACTTGTGGCACCAGGGGCCAGTCGGCGGTCTGGGCGGCGTTCGGTGAGGCTTCTTCAAGTCTTCTATCGGTTCTCCTGCCAGATTGATTAGCATTGGCTCATCGAGCATCGCCCCTTCAAGGCGTGCATCACATGTGTGGGGTGAATGGCGAGTTCTAGGCACCAGCGACGTTGTTTCACGGAGGACAGACAGTGGAATCATGTTGACAGAAGCTCGATTGGTTGCCAATGTTGGCAGTATTCTGGTATCTAGACAGAAAAGGAATAAGCAAAAAAAATGGACAGAAAACAAATATGCTCGCTAAAAAAACAAATGGCTAGTTTGAATGCATCCGTATAGTTCCCATCATCAGTCGTAACATATCTCATAACAGATGCGTTGATGTTCTC